TGTGTATACTTGCTATAAATGAAGAATTGGATATTGAAATTTAAAAGTTATGTAGGAGTACAAAGGACCTAGAAAAGTCTAAAAAAAAAAACAAAAGAAAAACAGTGTTGGAAGACGTTTAGTACCTAACTTTAAGACTTCTTCTAAAGCTACAATAATCAAGGCAGTGTTGGTGTAAGGAAAGACATATAGATCTATGGAATAAAACAGAATCTAGAAATAGAACCACACATATATGGTCCACTGAGTTTTGAAAGATTATTTAACATTTGTGCTATGTAGATATTTAGTGAAAATGTTGTATGTGTGAGTAATGAATAATGCTAAATTGTACAGTATGGCTTACGAACTAATATCTTAGCAAAACCTCACCACCACCATCACCACCCACCGACCATTTTTCTCTACTTCAGTTTGGAGCTGAATGTTAAAATAGTGAAAAATGTACACAGGTAGCAGTTCATTTTCTCTCCTAGAGTACTGTTATGTAAAATCTATCACATCAAATTCCATTTTAATAATTTCAACCTCTTCACAATACAGTCCTCAACTGTATCTGCTGACAAAGAGAAATAATTCAGATTCTGTTTCCACTAAGTTTTTTTTGTACCAGGGATCAAACTCAGGACCTTGCACTTGCAAGGCAGGTGCAGCACCATAGAGCTACATTCCTGGGCCCAAGAAGAGCAGTTTTATGTTATTTTGGATCATTTTCCCAAAGAAAACAAGTATAAAAGCAGGATAGGGCCAGGGATTTAGCTCAGTGGTTCCGCCACCTACCTCGCAAGCCCAAGGTCCTGAGTTCGATCCCCAGTACCAAAAAAAAAAAAAAAAAGCAGGATAAACTTGTTTTAAGGGGTAAGTGGGCACAGAAACCATCTGTGCCTTACTTGCTGATCCCTAACTTAACAACTATGTGGGATGAGGAGCGAATGAAGTAGAGAGAAATCAAGTCTCAGTATGCACACTGGGTAGAGAATTCTACAAGAAAGCCTCTTCACATATCCTGGGACCCGAGGAATCACATGGTCAATGTACAAGTGACCAGCAAGTGGAGCCCATGTCAATTTATGATCATGGTTTGGTTAAAATCTTTAGAGAGCCTCCAGCCTTCCATGTGCTTTAGGTTCATCCTGGGCTAAGAGGTACATACCTGGCAGAAAGGTACACAAATCCTTTGCAGAAAGGTCTCTTTTCTCTATTGCCATGGGTTATGTCTAGATGTTCCCCAAAGCCTCATGCACTCATAGGTGGTGCTTTTTGGAGGTAGCTAGATCTAGGGCATGTGATACTGAGATCAAGGGTGAGCATTACTAAGTCCACTGCTTAGAGTTGGCATAGTTCTGGATGTGGCCAAATGGATTTAACTGTAGATAGAAGGCCCACTGTAAGAGTGGGTGGCACCACTCAAATGGCTGGTAGCCTAAATTGGATAAAAGGGAAAGGTAGGCTGGCTGCTTGCTGCCTACCACACCAGGGACTGAAACCTCTACAAACTGTGAGCTGGAATAAACTTTTTTCCCTCTAACTTGTGGGTGCTGGATATTTTGTCTCAGCAATGAGAAAAGTAACTAAGACATTTTATACAGTAAGTTCCCAATTTATCAATGCGAGAACGTTTTAAAGTTGGATTTGTCTAAGTCCAACAAAGTGAGTCTTATATATTAAAGTTCACAACTCAAATATTCATTATATACTTCAAATTATTTCTTTAAATAATTTTCAAATGCAGTAATAAAAAACTAGCAGGTGAAGACAACTAGCTGCAGTATCAAGATGTCTACTTTTTGAACTACTGGACATTGATAAAACTCTGCTTAACATGTTTAAAGAATTAAGACAAACTACAATATTATGTATAAAAAAGCAACAAAGTCAAAGAACTAAAGAAATGCGAGAACAAAAATTAAAATCCCACTGGATATGATTAACATGGTCAAAGAAACAATCAACTGGGAGATTAGTTTAACAGAATAAAATTGAACTTGTTCCTACTCTGGCTTTTCTTCTTTTTTGTGGTAATGGGGAATGAACCCAGGATCTAAGCACTGAGCTGTATTGCCAGCCCTTTTAAAATTTTTTATTTTGATAGAGTCTCACTAAATTGCCTCAGGTTCGGCTTATACTTGTGATCTTCCTTCCTCAGCTTCCCAGAGCACTAGGTTTACAGGTGTGACACCATACCAGGCTTATTCTGGCCTTTACACAAGACAACCTGTCAATAGCACTAAAAGCCCACAAGCCAAACTAAAGAGTTACCAGTTATTTTAACACAGCCTTCAATTCCACCCCAACCCTACTACTAAGGATCTAACCCAGGGCCTCCACACTAGGCAAGCACTCTATCACTGAGCTACAACTCCTCCAATCAGCCTTACATTTTTTTCCCCCTCAGGTCTTGGGATTTGAACCCAGGGCCTCGTGAATTCTAAGCATACACTTTACTGCAGAGCACCACCCTTCTGTTTTGCCCACCAAGGGCAGAGTAACTGATAAACTGATTTTGTTTTTCCTTTCTCTTTATTCCTCTTTGCCTCTGCAAGGCTCCTTCTAGTAAGCCCCTTTCACACAGATTAAAATGCAAGACATGTTCATTTTCACGTGCCTTACTTGTTCACACAAATTTCTACCTCATTACCTGTGGAAAATGAGAACAATGAACCAAAGCACAATCCTGGGGACCCAGTAAATGACACTGGAAACGACAGCAGAAGTGGGAATCTGGTTTTCCTTACTGAGGGCCTAGTTTACCACTCTGATTATGATGCCCATTCAGTATTTAAAATTCTACTAACCTTTTCCCTCAGTTCACTGATGGAGATTTTGTTGGTTTCATTCCGATAAGAGATAAATGAGGAAAAGATGGGAAGGGAAACTGACTTCCCAGTTTTCACAAACAAGAGTTTCACACTTTTCCACTTCTGGAAAGAAAAAAAAGAATGTTATCTATACACAGTTTACTTTTTCTTTTTTTGGAAGTACTGGGAATTGAAATCAGGGCCTCTAGGCAAGCAATACACCCATAGCCCTCCTTAAAATTTTATACAGAAACAGGGTCTCACTAAGATGTCCAGGTTGGCCTCAAACTTGTGATTGTCCTGCCTCAGCCTCCTGAGTAGCTGGGATTACAGACACACACACTACCACCCTGGTAGTTATTTTGAATGGACAATCAATTGATACACATTTCAGATCATACCTCTGGCAATTTTTCTGAAAGACCTTCCGTCACAGCAACAATGTTTTCAGTGATGTGTTGAGCCTGCATTCCAGTGTGACCGATGCGTATAGCACTGAAATTTAACACAGCAGTAGACAAAAGAATTTTACAAAATAAGGCACAGCTAAAGCTGTGTGGAATATATGTAATCCTGAAATTATTATTTAAAAGGTGGAAACATTAAAAGTTTTAGGCTCAAAACAAATTTTAAAGGAAGACCTTTTATGTTCTAGGAATATTCTTCACTGAAATGAAATGGCATACCATAAACATGCAATTCATGAGCTGGCACCTGCCTAATAGAGGGTGGGAGGGTTAGTAGGCAGAGCCTGAGGAGGTTCTACGTCCTTCCTAGAAAATCCACAGGTGGCTGGGTGGGGCCTCAGCTGTTCAGAGAGGAACAACTCACCTGCTGTCTTTCAATTCTGCGGTGACCCTGCCTCTTATGTAACAGTCTTCCGGCAGGAGCCAGAACCATCCCTTCAGCTGAAGCAGAGTCTGGACAGGCACCAAGCAGGAAACCCAAACAAGCTCCTGGCCTGAAACTGCCCTGCCAGTCTACCTCCCGCCACGGGAACCAAAGGATGAGCCAGAGCTGGGGCTCCCACACCTTGCTCCAGGCAGAGGCTGGCACTGCCCACTCTGTGTGCCTGTTAGCCTACTGCCTGTGAGGATGGCTTTGGGTTCCAGGCAGCAAGGAGGGTGAGGGGAAGACAGAGAAGACAAGGAACTATAGTGTTTATTGGGGTAAGGTAAGAAAAAAAGATGATGGAATGATTTAGAAGTCCTTTTCTTCAGATGCCTCCAACTTTAAGCTGTGGTTGTTTTGACTTGAAAATCTCCAGCTGTCCTCATGATACTCTTTTTTTCCTTCCTACTCACTGATCCCACAAACCATGGATAGGAAATCCAGGCCCAATGACCACCTCTTGTTAACTACTTCAATGCACCAACCAAGGGGGATGTCCCTCAGCCCCACCTATGGCCAAAGGCAACATCAGAGCTCACCCACACTGAGCTCACTTTACCTGGAGACAAACTGCCCACTTCACATTCTCTGCCCAGCTCAGGCTGAGAAGCAATTATTGCCCTCAAAGGTCTTTTCTGGCACCCAAGTCTAAGTGGATGGACACTGAATTTATTAAGAAATTAAACCAAGGGCCAGGGATTTAGCTCAGTGGTTCCAGCGCCTGCCTCACAAGCACAAGGTCCTGAGTTCAATCCCCAGTCCTCCCCCCCAAAAAAGAAATTAAACCAAGACCAAGGTGGATCTTCACTTTAAAAGATAATACGCAAACTGAGAACTGCTAGTATTCTTTAGGCATAAATCTTATGTCCCTTGCTTTACTATCTAGACTTGCCCTGTCTAACATGGTATCCACTAGCCTTAACCACACAAGCTTAAATTAATTAAATCACAGAATATCACAAAGTTACTCAGACACAGTGGCCACATTTCAAGTACTCAGTAGTAACTATGTCCAGAGGCTCCTGTCAGAGTCAGCACAGACAGAGACAACTGTCAGCAGAGCAGAAGTTCCAGAGAGCTGAATACTTCTAAGGAAGGGATTTTAGTTTTAACAGAAGGGCCTGGTTTCATTAACACTGCCTTTTCAAAAAGTGGATTGTATTACTATTAAATGTAAGACCGAAAGAAGCACAAGTAAATGGTGTCACCTACCTGCAAGAACCACTTTTGGAGATGTTTAAGACAGTCCCAGCTAGAGTGCTGTTGATCTCTTTTGATAAATTCTTGGCCTGAAGGTTTACAGGTATTGGAACTCTACAAAAGCACACAGGCATCAGAATACAGTGTGTACACACCCATGTTTTCATTCTGTTAAAAGTCCAGTCACTGCTGAGAAACTTACCTCTTCCTTTGGTAGAAGTGCCTTCCTATGTGCGAGGGCAAAAGTCGCCTAATTCTTCCATCAGTAAGAAAGACATCAAAACTATTCAGGAGGCGGAGCTTGGCTTCATAGGCTTTATATTCCGTTTTTAAAATTCGGAAAGGAATAATCTAGAAAACATAAAAAGAGTAAAAATACAAAAAGTTAAGAACCCAAATAAGGAAAAGGCAACAATTTTTACTCAGAATTTAAAAAGTCCTAGAACCATGCCTCTCAGTTTAGTGAACACATGAGCACCTACAATGTGCCAGGGAGTATGCTAAATGCTGGGGGACAGGAGGACAAAGAATCCTAGCTAAAGATCCAGGGGATGATAAAGACAAATATACAAAAAACTACAAAAGAGGGAGAGTTAGGGGCAGACAAGTGATGCTCTGTAAGTATAGAAGAATAACATAAATGAGGAGCTTTTAAAATAATCTCCAAGATATAAAAATTCTTGATACACACATTTAGCTTTTAGGCCACAAACCTCAACAGCTCTTCCATGAGAGATAAGATGGAATATATCCTACCCAGAGACACACTAAATTAGAAAAATACTATGATATATAATACTTTATTATATATCACTTCATTTGAATTACATCTTTTAAATGATTTCAAAATATTAACCTGTTTCCTACCTGAGAGATTGTTTTAATTCCATGCTTGTTCAAAAGCTCTTTATAGAAGCGTTCTGTCTGTTCAGCTGACTGGAGTTCATCCTTGGTAAATAAACAGATTTCTGACAAATCTGATCGAGTATTATGAGGCAAGGACCTGTAAAATACACAAGGATTGAGGCAGTGAAATATTATTACAGAAATATATATATTTATATCATTCGGAATATACAGTACATTTACTGTCACTTTAATAACCTTTATTCATGCTGAGTCAGTACAGCACTGAAAAACTTTAGAATAATATCTTTAAGATATAATGGGGGTGCATGCCTGCAATCCCATCACTCTGGGAGGCTGAGGCATCCTGATTCCAAGTTCTAGTTCAGTCTGGGCTACTTAGCAACTTAGTGAGATCCTGTCTCAAAATAAGTGTCGGGGGGGATGCAGCTCAGTGTGAAGTTGCAATCCTTAGCACCACCAAAAAAAAAAAAAAAAAAAAAATCACCATAAAACACCCATAGGTCAAAGACTCAATTAATATTTGGGATATAACAAGTTAAAATGTAATCAAACACACCCAAATAGTCCATATGTAATTATTACAATTGCATCTATTACTACACAAGCATATGTACTTTAATGTGCCACAATGGCTTCATTTCATTAGTTCAGTCCTGGCTTAGAACTTTATCTTCTTGAAAAGTCTTAGCCCCATAAATAACAGAACTCAAGTTGGAACCAAAAACATAGCACAAGCCAAGAGGGACCAGCTAATATGCACTGTTACAGCAAGTCTTGAAAAACAACACAAGTCATTTCTTAGCCCAAGTGTTCTGAAGAAACAATATTCCTATAATCAAGAATAGCCAGAGCCAGGGCCAGGGATTTAGCTCAGTGGTTCCACTGCCTGCCTCGAAAGCACAAGTTCCTGAGTTTGATCCCTGGTACCAAAAATACAAGCATAGCCATACACAGCAGTATAATTTGCCATATGAGACTGTGCTGTAAGTATGTGACAGCAATCACCAAGAGTCAAGCAGTTGAGAAAATATCCTAAAGAACAGGAAAGACTTTCAAGAAGGGGAAACTAGTAAAGTAAAGGTGTGGAATAAAGAAAGCAAGCAGAATATGTAAAACAATGAATAAAAAAAATCTTGCTGGAAGATGAGCTAAGAGAGAATCTGGGAATGGAAAGTATCTTTCCTCTTTCTAACCATTCCACTTTCCCTCTTTTTGGGGAAAAGAAACAACCTATCCCAATACACTGCTTTCTTAAGCATAGCTGGCTCTCTGATACAAAAGCAGGGCTGCTAGACAAACTACAGGACACTCAGTTAAATGTGAGGTTCAGATCAACTAAAGCTTTTTTTTTTTTAATGGTACTGGGAATTGAACCCAAGGTCTTTGCACTGGGCTACATCAACACCTTCCTCCCTCTTTTAAATTCTGAGACATGATCTCACTAAGTCACTAAGTTACCCACACTGGTCTCAAACTTGAGATAATCTGTAGTGTTCAGTTCCAAAAAATCTTTTTTAGGGCCGGGGATTTAGCTCAGTGGTTCCGGCGCCTGCCCCACAAGCGCAAGGTCCCAAGTTCAATCCCCGGTACCAAAAAAATAAAAAAAGGTAATTGCAAAGTATGATTACCATTCTTGGCTGGGGATTTAGCTCAGTGGTTCTGCCACCTGCTGCACAAGCTCAAGGACCTGAGTTCGATCCCCGGTACCAAAAGAAAAAACCCCAAAAAACAAAAGAGAGTGAATAACTAGTAGACTTATGTCAGATCCAGATAAAAAATAAGAAAAGATTCATAGCTCTGGTATTCCTCAAATAAAAAAGAAATGATTGATGGGTAGCATACCTTTAAGATGTAAAGTTTAAAGTTCTTTTCTCCTCTCTTCTTCCATCTTTCTCCTTCCTTTTCCCCCTTCTTAGCTCTTTTCTTTCATACTTTTAACATAATAAAGCCCTCTCTGGTAAACTGTGCATAAAGTCATATAATTTTGTCATGGGGTCACGGGCTAATTTTTAAAAATACAGACTACATTATATAAAAAGTACATAGTTAAAACACATTCTCTATTTTTTATCTTAATTTCTCTCTTCTAGATTGCAGAAAAAACAGAACTCAAAATAGCAGAATCTCGAGAAGGTTATAGACCCATTGCTAAACATTCATCAGTGTTATTCTTTAGCATTGCAGACCTGGCTAACATTGATCCCATGTATCAGTACTCTCTCATCTGGTTTGTGAACCTTTATATCAACTCTATTCACGACAGGTAAATATTCTCTAACTTCATTCATCCTAAGGGTTGAATTTTTTTTCAATACTGGAACCCAGGGCTTCACACATGCTAACCAAACACTGCCACAGAGCTACATCCCTAGCCTTTCAAAGCTGCATTTTCATTATACTTTCCATTTAAAAAATATAATTTTGGGGCCAGGGATTTAGCTCAGTGGTGCTGCCACCTGCCTCATAAGCACAAGGTCCCGAGTTCGATCCCTGGTACCAAAAATAAATGAATAAAAATTTAAATATATATATAATTTTGTTTCTAGTTGTTTTATAATATATTTATTATAGAAATTAAAATACGGACAGTGATAGACAATGAATGAAAAAAAGAAAAGAACAAAAGACAAAGCCTTCCTATTTTAAGTTGTTTAACTTCTTAAGACTTAGGAATTAAAGGAGATTAACTTCAGTTGTCTTTTTTTTCTGCCTTTTACATATTTCAATAAGGAACACGATTTAGTTTTGCTGGTGACTCCAATTTATTTTTCACTGCCTTTGAAGTGTTTAAAGACTTGAGTCTCATATTTCTATTAGTTTGCAACCTTAATGAATGTACACAGATTTTGGAGTCCAGAATTTAATCTCAGTTTTGCCACATATTCACTACATGACTACAAGCAAGTCAGCTAATCTTTTGATTGCCTCAGTTTTTGTTATCTATAAAATAGGAATTATAATAGTACCTGCCTTTTAAGGTTGTTATGAGAATTAAATGAGATAATATTTAATAAAATGTTTATAATAATGGCTGGTACTTAGTAACTGATATACTTGCTAAGTAAAATAATATGGAGGAAGTTCAAAAGAATTAATATACATGTCAATAACAAGATTCAGTGGTGATATGGAATAATTGGAACACTCGTACCATACTGGTCAGGTGCTTTTTTTTTTGGTACCTGAGGATCAAACTCGGGTCCTTGTGCTTGCACAGCAAGCGGCAAAACCACTGAGCTAAATCCCTGGCCCCTAGTCAGGTTTTAAAATAGCCACTTTCGAAGTTACTCAAAATATTAAGCAGATTTACCATACAATCCAGCAATTCTGTTCCCCTCCTGGGTGTATACTTAAGAGAACTGACTGCAATTGTCCACACAAAAACTAAATTTTTTTGTTTTTAGAAAAAAAATACTGTATTCACATGTTACTTGGGTTAGTTTGTTGCTGTTTCAGTGTGTTATGTGAAATACAGTTAGGTTCATTTGCTTACTTTTATATTTTATTTCAGAGTTTTCCTTCATCTTTGTTGACTTTATTATTTATTTTGAGAACGTAAACTTTTTTTTTTTTGGTACCAGGGATCGAACTCGGGTCCTTGAGCTTGTGAGGCAGGCAGTGGAACCACTGAGCTAAGTCCCCAGCCCAGAGTACATAAACTAAGGACTCCAAAAGTCAATCCTATGCAAAAAGGTCTACTGAGAGAAATGTCACTATGCTTCAGTTCCTTTTCCATAGACCCAAATACTATTTTTATATCAAAATTTATTTTTGAGATAAGTGTAATTTCACACGTAATTATAAGAAACAGTAGAGACCTCATGTATTCTTTACCCAGTTTCCCAAATGGTCACACTTTGAAAACCTGTGAAATAATATCATAATCAGGATATTGGTATTAAATGGCCAAGATACAGAACATTTTCATTACCACAAGGATCTTCATCTTGCCTGTTTAGCTATACCCACTTCCCTCTCATATCTACCTTTTACATTTCCCTCCCTAGCATAGAGCCTGACATTGTAATAGAGATTTGGTAGGTGTTTGTTTTAATTACTTGTTTTCAGTCATTTTGAGGGTTGAATAAGATTTAGGAAGTGAAAACATAAA